CTATTGAGTCTAATTGAGCCATAATGGTAATAAATGGTTCAAAATTAGTATATTTAGACGTTAATATGAGTAATTGAGGAAGAATGGGCTTTAGTGGTCCTTAATGGGTCCAAATGGTGGCAGTGGATATAATGGGCATAATTCTCGTTAAAAAGTCCAGTTGAGTCAAAATGACACCAACTAGGTCATAATTAGTCCAATTAGACCCTGATGCGTTTAATGGGCCCATTTCGTTGTAACTAGTTAATTGGGTCAAAATGACACTAAATGGGTCATAGTTGGTGTAACTACATGTTAATATGACTAATTGARGTWGAATGGGTCTTAAGTGTCCTTAATGGGTCCATCTACACTTATTGGGATATTGGTTCCTATTTGGTATAATCGAGTCTTTTGGGTCAAAATGACAATAAAGGTATCATAATTAGTCTGATTACACCCTATTAGGTTAATAGGGCTCATTTATCCATAAAGATTCCAATTGGCTCAAAATGACACTAATTGGGTCATATTTAGTTTTATCAGACTTAATGGGTATGATGTGCTTAGTTCGTCATAACTAGTCTAATCAGACTTTAATTGGAGTGATTGAGCGTCCATTTGGTGTTAGTGGATATAATTGGCCTATTTCTCCTTAAGAAGTCCAATGGGGTTCACACGACTCAGACTAGGTCAAAATTAGTATTTTTAGACCCAAATAGGTTTAATGGGGCGCCAGTTATCCATAACTAGTGTAATTGGGTCACAATGACACTAAATGGGCCATATTTGGTTTRTTCAGACCTTAATGGTTATCATGGGCTTATTTCTCCTATTGAGTCTAATTGAGCCATAATGGTAATAAATGGTTCAAAATTAGTATAATCAGACGTTAATATGAGTAATTGAGGAAGAATGGGTGTTAGCGGTCCTTAATGGTTCCAAATGGTGGCAGTGGATATAATGGGTATAATTCTCGTTAAAAAGTCCAGTTGAGTCAAAATGACACCAACTAGGTCATAATCAGTCCCATTAGACCCTGATGSGTTTAATGGGCCCATTTCTTCGTAACGAGTTAATTGGGTCAAAATGACACAAAATGGGTCATAGTTGGTGTAACTACATGTTAATATGACTAATT